TAATAACTTGATCTTTATTTTATAGTTGCCGATTAAAGTAATCGAAATAATTATATTATTTTGTTGAGAATTATTATTATCAAAATTTATCGATATTTCAAAAACGAAATTTCACCCTTTATCCTCCGCCAACTTTCTCTTTCCTCCTTCCCAATAGATACTACAGTGACCATTTATAGATTAACTGCAAAAAATTAAGAAAATATAGAATTGAAAAATTTTTTAAATAGTTTTTGTAATAGACTTCATGAACTATTGATTAGTAAATAGGACATTTCGTTTCATCGTTTCGCGATTGAAATATCAACTTAACAAAGTCCATATTTAAAAAACAAAAAAAAACTCTAAAAAAGTGAATTTTTTAAAAGAATGTTTACTTTCTCTACAAAAAATAGATATTTCGACGATATATTGTGTGCTTTATATCAATGTACATGTGCATCTGTTAATTGACTAGGTTTCAAAAGTTTTGCAATAACTGGAGAAATAAAAGACAGTAAGATACAAAATGCACTCGAAAACTCTCATTGAGAGAACGGAGAAGAATGATCTGATCTACACTCTTGATGAAGTATGTGCACACATGTTTTCACGCTTTCAACATTTATAATGGCTGAGATCCTCTAGGGGCGAGACTTTGGTCCACTACTGTATGAACGTGTAAAGTAAATAAAAAGAAAAAAGTTCAACTTGGATAATCTTTATCATTATAAAATCAAAAAAGATTATAATTGAGATATTACAATAATGATTATAAGCAAAGCTTTGCAACTGAACAGAAATATCTACTTTCAAAATATTAAAAAGTGAAATATTTGACATTCTTTTAATTAATACGAATAAATGAAAATAATATTGTATTCAAATTTCATATTCAATGAATTTTTCTTTATTTAAATATTCAATATTAATCAATTGAACTTCTACAAAATCAAATAGAATTTTTTTACTTCATATTTTCAATTGATTATTTATTGATAATTGAATTTTTTATTATTCAGTTGAAAGATATTTGTTTGATCGTGTACAAAATACAAAGATACATCAATATATATAAAGACATGAAGTTGAAAAAGTAATTGACAATAGAAGATAACGAGAGACAAAATCAAATCAAATTAAACGAATATCAAGCAAAGAAAAAATATTATAAACCAAAGTTATTTTTGAATATGATTTAAATTTTTATCAAAATAAGTGACCGAAATTTTTTTGAAAAAACGAAAGTTTTAATTCATTTTTAATTATTAACTTGTTGTTTTTTTGTTTGTTTGAATAACACACAATATTTTGTTCATTTCATTTTTTCATTCAATTCTAGAAAAATACAAAACAATCAATATAAAAATTCTAAATAAAAAAATGTACTCAAAAAAGAAGATTCACATTAAAAGTTTGAAAATTTTGATAACATTGCTTGATATACGCATTGACTTATTAACTAAACATGAATCATTTGCAAAAGATATCTATAAACTGTGCAAACAGATTCATAAAAAAATAATATACAATGAAGTACAACATATGAAGTTCTTAAACAGTTTGACGTTCTTTTCCAACTGATTTCATAAAAGGAAAAACAAAACCAAAATTAAATCTATGATTATCAAGATAATAATAGATCTATTTTCGTGATCCTTCACAAAGATCGAAATCGAATCGAGAGTTCTTTTTTAAAACAAATGAATTGAAACGAATGTCACTTTATTTATCTCATCATTAATCTCTTTTGTTAATTCTCGAAAACAAGCAACAAAATCTACTTCAATATTGAATTCAATTTCTTCATCTCTTGCTTTTTTGAAAATTGTATCGATCTATTTGTGTGCAACATCTACAAATTCGACTATATATATAGACTGTATTTTCATTGAACAAGATTAGTTTTTGTTAATATACTCGAAAATTGTTCAGATCAAAGAAGAGAAAATACATATGAAATTATTTTAATTATTACTTCGAAAAGAGTTTGATTGAAAAAACGTCTTAGTTCATTTTTTTCTCATAATATGTCTGTCTTTATGCAAGAAAAACAGAATAACTATATCAATATTAATTATCTAAATTTGAAAACTAATATGGTTATCTATTGGTAAAAACAAAGGATTTCTTTTAATTATGAATAAGTACTAATTCATCTTGTAGTTCTTCTTTGAAACTTGACGAATTTCTTCAAATCAATCAACTTAACATGAAGATAGAGAAAAATTTTGTGTGATATATATATGTAAATTGTACTTATAAATTAAAACAAGAAGAACATGATGTTTTTCTTTTAACATGAATCGAATCAAATTCAAATTCGAATCGAGATATTCTTATTCGTTTCCATTTATTAATCTAATTATTTTTAAAGAAATTAAAAAAATATTCCTAATCACAAAAACTACATGTCAAGCTACTATACCAAAAATCTTCACTATATATTTCGAAACTATTCAAAAACTATCAAAATGTGTTTACTTACATTTATTTTCTTCTATCTTCACTTCTTCAACACAATCACATTTACAGGTGCAGAAAGAAGAAAAACGACTTTGACTAAAACAAAACAAAAAAATACTTGTACAATAATCATTTGAATGAGCAAGTTATTAACTTACAGAATAATAGAAGATAGATTTGGATCATCTTCAACTTTCACTCCATGTCTTTTTAATTTTTCAATATCTATTAACACGTCTAAAATAAAAACATAATAATAATATCAAATTGATTTTATTAGAATAAATAGGAAGATATATGCTTACCATGATATCTTTCAGCAGAAAAAAAAACATCAATGCGTATTTTAATTAATTTAACAAGTGTTTCTTTTTTCATATCATCTAATACTTGATTACTATATTTATTTATTATTTTTGTTAAAAGCTAAAAAATAACAATATATTCTCGACTTTTTTTTCATCCAAGAGTTTTATTCACTTACTTCTATAGCTAATTCATATTGTTCTGCATTAAATGCATCATCAGCAGCAAGAAAAAGGTCAACTAAATCTGTCATTTTGAATAACAACAATAAATTTTTATAATACAGTTAATTGTTCATACAATACGTTTTTATGTGTAACATACATATATATACGAATTTATATAAGACTTAACAAAAACAAAGACAAATAATCGGTCATGCTCAAAATGGCCAGATTAGACTAAACTTGATTGATAAAGAGAAAACAAGAAACGATTAATTAACAACAGATAATATCGAATCTGATTCTTATTCGTTTGATAAAGATGACCAATTGCCAACGATTTTATTTTCTAGGGGACACTATAGGCAAGAAATTTGTCAATAATTTTGAAAATTTATGAATTTTTCTCGAATTCTTTGTATAGTAATTGATAAATCACTACTATTTTATTATTATTATTATTTAAAGTTATCGAGTAATTCCATATGAACATCGTTTGAGAGAAAAATGTAAGAAATGATCGATCAAGAAAATCCCTCTTTTCCGACCAAAAATTTTCATTTTTCCTTTTTCCTTTTTTCTGTGATTAATATATAGGTTTAAATGCTCTCTATCCAAGGAACACATTTTGAGAACTGAAAATCTACGTTTTATATATAAGAAATTCGAAAAAACCATAAAATACACTGAAAAAACCAAAAAAACTCGACGTTTTTTGCATTTTTCTGAAAATTAGGTTTTTGAACGAAAAATTGAAGTTTTCCGCCTTTTTCTCCTACATGGTGCGACCTATAGGGCTGAATCCTTTTTTTACAGATACTTCGATCAAAATAGAACGTGTCTTTTTTTTCTTAAAAATATTGTTCCAGAGAATTTTAGTGTGTATCAGAAAATTAGTACGATAAGAAAAAGCACGGATTTTGATAGTGCCTTCAGAATTTTGGTTCTTCTGAGCCTCAGGAAGGATATGTATGTAGGTGTGGATGGATGTGCATGTGCATGTAGGTGTCGCACTTATAAGGGAGACCAGAATTTTGGCCCACGGAATTTTCGGGTCGGGCCGAAAGTTCTCTAGGACTTTCGACCTGTGATCTCATTGATCCCTAAAACAAAAAACTTAATTTTTTTTAATTAGTTGCTGGACATCGTAGTGCCGAGCAGGATGCCATTGTGCTTAGTGATATGGCGTAGTGCTGAGCAGGACATCATAGTGCTCAACGATATGGCGCGGTGTCGAGCAGGACGCCATGATGCTCAGCGATATGGCTTAGTGCTGAGCAAGATGTCACAATGGGTCTGTAAGTGGGATGCGGATGTGGTGTGTGGGGGGTATCTAAGTCTTCTTTTAATTGATACGCACATCCATTATGACGTCCTGCTCAGCATTACGCCATATCATTGAGCACTATGGCGCCCTGCTCGACACGATCATGTCCAACAACTAATTGAAAAAATTAAGTTTTTTATTTTAGGGATCAATGAGGTCACGGGCCAAAAGTCCTAGAGGAATTTTGGCCCGGTCCGAAAAATCACCGGAATTTCGAATCGAAAATTCATGTAACTCTTTCATGTGTATTGATTTCTTCAATCAGTTCTGGTTTGAGTAGCTGAACAGATTAGTTCAACCTTTATCATGTCTATAATGTCTTGTTTGACAAAAGAGATTTCTCGTTGTAGATATATCTTCAAAATCAACAACTATGCCCAGATGGAAAGTTGAAAAACAATATAGTGGAATCACTGATGTGATGAAAACAAATATATTGAGCACAATAAGTACTGCGATTGATATACATGGATCATCAGAAATGTTTAAAGTTGCCGATAATGTTAGAAACTGGCTTGATGAAACTTATGAAAAATACTGGAGTGTAGAGATTCACGAACTAGGCAAAGGCCAATGTAGTAGCACTCACTTTGGATCAAAATATTTTACGGTGATAGAAACGAATTTGGGATGGCATATTGTAATGTGGAAATCCGCTTGATCCTGATAACAAATGGCAAAATTGTGGTTCTAGATTGTTATTTACTTCTTTCCCTTTTTATTGTGAGAAAATGTGATTGAGGATGAACTATGATTGCTTATTATTTTCTGTGATTCATTCAGAATAAAACAAGATTGACAGATTTTCGCAAATCATATAGTAATTGAGAAAGGTTTAGAGTGTAGGAAAAGTTTCTAAACGAATTAGAATCCGAAAGTAAGAATTATTGAGAATATGTTAGAAAAAATGTTGTGCAAAATTCGACTATGATGAAATGTCACTGTTTAAACATATTTCATCTAATCATGAACGATGAATAATATCAATTGAAAAGATCCGTTGCTTGTATTCTTGTTCTGAAAATCACAATTACTCTTAGAATACATTTTTTGTGCTTTATTTTCGAAGCACTCCTACTGCATTCATAAATGACATTGTCGCCTCCAGATTGTTCAAGAAAACTAGGCTGTGGGTGTGGATGTGTGTGTATCGTGTTATGAGTAGGACTGGTTCAATAAATGAAGAGAAAAATGGCCAGGATAGACACTTTCATGTGTACACTGATACTATCAGCGGCATGCACATCAACACCCATAGTCATGTCCACATATCAATCACAGTCACACCTCATATTCTTATTTATTATTCATATCTTTCTATGAAAATCATTTTTAGGGAATTTATTCTTGTTTGATAGCTTTACAATTTCTGTTTCAGTAAAAGGAATACTTTTCAATGCATTTTACGAAGAAGCAAATTCTCCTAAAAATAATTAAAAATTGAACATTAGTCTTGAATCTTGCTAAGCGAATAAATGATATCCCTGAAGAAGAAAAATAATGTTGTCAAATGCTCACTTTCATATGGCTTGAGGAAAAATTAGAATAATTGAAATATGATTTTATCAAATGTGTCTCATATTCTTCAACAATCATCTGACAAGAACAAACTACATAGATATAAAAATAATAATATGAACATTTTTGAAAAAAAAAAATACTTCTCATAATTATCATTGTAAATACTTTTTAAATGTTGAAAAATTTCAATAAGAATAAAAGAAATCTATAGAAAATAGTGAATATTTTTTTTGAACTTCGCCTTTCTACTAGTCAAATATATTTGTCTGCTTAATCATAGAATTTGACAAATATTTTCTGCATTTAAAAATTAGGTTTTCTCATGTCGATTGTCATTATTCTTTTCTATGGTCAATTTTTTTCATTTAAAGCATTTATACTGATTATGGATTATACCTAAACCGAATGTTCAATGGATTGATAAAGTATAATTTTTAATTTATATAATTTTTGATTCTTCAATAAATAAATGTGAATTGTTTCGTCTCTATTTAATCATTCATGAAAATAAAAAAAATTCTTTTGATTCTTTTTTAAATATTATCATAGAATAAGGAAAACTAAAATAATTATTTTTGCTTCGTCTAATATAGATGATTTTATCTGTGCTTATCTTAGTTTCTTAAAGTCTATTATATAATTTATCATTTAATTAATAAAATTATTTGTTTTTCAGGCACGGAAAACAAAGATAAAAGGTATCTGTAAAAGATGCGAACAGCCATGAACACCTATATCTTTTACCATTAAGTAGGTTGATTTGATTTAGACAAAACCCAAAACATCAGGCTTTATATGTTAGCCTTAGAAAAGTAGATAGGATATGTTTTCTCAAATTTGAACTTTATGATTAAATTTTGCAAACAGCACATCTGAACGCACCCAATAGATCTCTATGATCAATTAACGTATTTGATAGTCTAGAGTACCATATACACTACCATTAACGTTGTATCCTCTTCTTCTTTAGTTGCTGCTACGTTTCTTTTCGTTTTATATTTCAATTTATGATTTGTTGTGCTATATTTCTCCTCTTCCAATATCTTTGTTGAGTATTGAGTCTCACATTGTTATCTGAGATTCTATTGTATTTCGGTAGTGTATATGATATTCTATACTTCCAATTACGATAATTGATAATAGTGATCGATTGGATATGTTTACAGCAACTATATACAAAATTCAATTAAAAAGCTTAAAATTAAGAAAATACATCCTTTTTATTTTTCTAATGCCAGAATATTGATATCTAATATTTTGGATTTGTAATTAAGTCAAGTAGGCCTATTCACTGGCAAAAGATGTGAGTGTTTGCTGCTTTTACAGATACCCAAAGATGAAGAAATTGTAATTTCATTACTGTGAGTAATTTTTTAACAGAGACTAAGAATTGTAAAATTTCATTATCAGCTAAAAATAAAAAATTTGTCAACTTTTCTTTATTTAGCACTTTTTTTTTTGCCTGTAAAATTTATTTTAATGCGAATAAAGATAAAAGTTTAAATGATAAACATGTATTTCTCACAGTTTATTTCAGAGCTGGGCATCACCATTGTTACGAGTACTTTTAGGACCCCTATGCTGTCCACGTAATTTGTAAATTACGTGTAATTCACAAATTACGTGGACAGCTTACGGGTCCAACAAGTACTCGTAACCATGGTGATGCCCAGCTCTGGTTTGTTTTAGTAAAACATGTTAAGATCAAATAAATAAGTATTTATTTAAACAATTGTTTGTAAATTGCGAATGACGACTTTTTCACTAAATTCAATAAAATGAAATGAAGTTTTAGCAAGATTTCTATTGAAAAGATGAAGGTAAGCAAGTTCATTTTACATTTGGAATATTGGTTTAATCAAGAGATTTTTCTTGCATTAATATTATGTCAAAAAATAACTCATTCCTTAATTAAAAAACTACAAGAAAAAGAATATTTTTTCAATAATACAAAAGTGTTTTAGAATATTAAATTTTTCTATACGAGATATATAACATAAAAAGGTTCTACTATCATCATATTGAAAATAAGTTATATCTAGAAATAGTTCTTTTTGTTAATGGCTTCTCAATAGTTTTAGTAATAATAATAATATACTGTTTTTTCATCACAGATGGTTGATATCCAACAGAAAAAAGAATAGAACAAAACATATATTTTTAATTACAACAAGTAACTTGAATGAGCTCTTAGTCAGGAATATACATTAATGTGGAAAAATTCTCCAAAGGTAAGCACGTTTGTATTTAGTAAAAATATTCATTTTCTAGTAATATTTAAGTTTAGAAAAACGTCGAATTCTAAACTGTTCAAATAATATTTATTGATTCTACTAAAACGATTGGCATCTGTAATACAGGAAAAATGAGTTGAACAAATCATTCTACCTAATTTTTCTCTCTATCGAACATCGCTAACATTTTAATATTAGAAGACAAAGATTTTGATCACTTGATTTTTTAACTGACAATCACCATTGACAATAAATAAAATAATATGATTAGACTAGATTTATGAAGAAATCTTTTACAAACACATAAATATTTGTGTTGATGTTCTCATTAAAGAAATAACAACATTTGTTTTAGTTTCATGAAAATACGTTGTTTGATCGTATGTTCAAGTGTTTTATTTTTCTTCAAGAGAATATTTATAGTATAATTTGGGTGTGGGTGTAGTTGTTGTTTAAGAGGTGATCAACACTCACATCCACCAACACACCCACACACTCACACCCACATCCAATGAATATTACTACTAATTTATATGAAAAATCAATTGTATTTTTAGAAATAAAAAATGACATTATTTACTTTGATGAATATATGTTTGTTTTTGTTTCTGCTGACTGTCGATCAAATATCAGGTAAATATTTAACAAAATTAGTCAATATATCATTATTATACGATTGAGATATTTAAATTTTGCGTTAACAACTTTCTTAAGAAATAACTGTTCATTACAATTAAGTTAAATTTTGTCGAAAAACATATATGTAGAATAAATTATACATACCATATGGATACTATTAGTTTGATAGATAAATATAAACCGAAGTGAATTACGTATGATTTGTTCCTAGGGGAAAACTTCAGAATATGGTTGAATACAATCTTTTAAGTTAGATGTTCCCATTGGACATTCCTGTTTGGAATTAAGCAGCGTATTTTTGTAGCTTTCCTATAAGTTCCAACCTGAAATGATTACAACCAAACGCAAAAATCATTCAATTGATATATTAAGATCAAAATTTCTCTATCCTTTTGAGGTCGATTAATTGAAAATTCCATCAAAGTTGTTAACGTGATTTGATAAAATTCACAGTAGTTGGATCGCAAAGCTAGGGATTTGAGCACGAATTCTGCAATTGGATTTTGATAGGATTTAATAAATCTAACTGTAGAATTATTTAAATTATCTAAATGATAAACATTATTATTCTGATCGTAGCAAGCATTTTTTTTTTACTTTTTCCAGCAATTTCATATAATCAGCCAAACTTGTGTCCTAATGCAACGTGGAACTCAACAGCTATAACATTTGCAACGACCACCACCGTAGGATCATACCCACAGGGAATTTTTGTTGATACAAAGAATACTGTCTATGTGGCTCATCGAACAAACCATCAGGTTCTAGTATGGCTCAATGGAAGTACCACACCAACAGGAAATATATCTGGTGGTTTAAACTATCCATATAGTGTCTTCGTTACAGATATTGGTGATATTTATGTCGATAATGGATACTCGAATGAGCAAGTCGACAAATGGACATCAAATTCTACTATTAGTGTTCCAGCTATGTATATGTGTGGACAATGCTATGGTTTATTTGTCGATATTACGAACACATTGTACTGTTCAGTGTTTAGTTATCATCAAGTTATCTCAAATTCACAAAGACAAGGTTCAAATACATGGACTATTGTAGCTGGTAATGGTGTTGCGGCATTATCATCGACATCACTTTATAATCCTCGTGGAATCTTTGTTGATAAGAATTTAAACTTGTATGTGGCTGATAGTGAAAATGATCGAATTCAATTTTTTCCACCTGGACAATTAATCGGAACAACTTTAGCAGGAACTGGAGCATCTGGAACTATTGCATTATTATATCCAACTGCAGTTGTACTTGATGCTGATGGATACCTTTTCATTGTTGACTGTTATTATCATCGTATTATTGGTCAAGGTCCAAATGGTTTTCGATGCATAGCAGCATGTTCTGGAGCTGGTTCAACATCTAGTCAGTTATATTATCCATTAACACTTAGTTTTGATACTTATGGAAACATATTTGTCACTGATCAGGACAATCATAGAATTCAAAAGTTTCTTTTGTCAACAAATTCATGCAGTAAGTATTAGCATATATTGATTGTACATAGAACACTTATGAAATCCAATTTTGTAAGCTGTTCTATTAGTCAAAATAAAATTATTGGAAGTTTTTCATAAAAACTGTATTCCTATTCAGTTTGTTGGTGTATTCTATGAATTAGATATCAAATGGGAATATTATTAATATTTATTAAATGAGATTCTATTTAATTATAGGTCGAGGAACAACAACAACAACAACAATGAACACTAGTATTTTATATGTTTTTTTTTCTTTTTTTCGGTATTGTGAATGAATTCTTTTAATTTTTAGTAACAAATTCGACGAGCACCATTCAACAAACTACTTCATCAATATCCATGTCTTATTCAAACGGTAACCTAATAACTTAATGTTTCTTAATTAGTAAATTTAGTATAGAATTAACAAAGTCGAGCTTAGAAAGAATTTCATTTTGCCTTTAGTTTTTGAGAAACAATGAAAGAAAGAGCCGAGTTCTGTTTCATGTACATTTATGTATTTCAATGAAAATTATATCGACAAAAAATACACTAAATATTCTAGTAAAGGAATAGAAATAAAATAGAATGACGATAAAATAAATTAGACATGATTAGTACTTGAGGTTTTCTGGTTCGATCAGAATCAAAAGCAAAAAAAATTATTCTAATCAAAAAGAATTCAGTTCAAATAACCGACTTATCAAAAAGTTTGTAAGCATAAAACTTGATCCTATATTTTAACAATGTCTATGCGTTTGAAACAGCTTGGTCATACTCTATAATTCATTTAATCTTTAATATCCTTCACGTCGGATGATCCATAAGGTATTATCAAGATCATTTATTTTTGGTTGCGATCTACGCTGGAAAACTTATGATTTCGATCATAACCATAATCTCTACTAGGCTAAATTCTAGGAGAGTTTGCCTACGTCTACAATAAAATGATACAAATTGTTAAGATCATGTTTTGATTACCACTTACAAGAAAACCATAAACAATATAATGCTATCATTCAGACTGAAAAGCTTCTATATTTGTTTTCTACCTGAGATAGAAAGGTTACAATGAGAATACAAACCGATTTTTCTGGATTACTTTACTCTATGAGCAACACTCAGGTCAAAATGGTGACATTCTGTTTTTTATGATAAACCTTTGCTGTGACCAGAAAGTCAATAAAATGATGCAAATTCGAAAAACAAGCGACACGATGATAAGTTATTATACGTAGATATTGTCTGTTCTTAGTCAGATGAACTGATGATATCAGTCTCGTCTTAAACCAATCTATTGTTTGGAGAGGTTCCTTCACTAATTTCTGTATCATTGAGAAACTTTTATAAGAGTTGCAAAAACAAACTTATTATCTATGTATATTATTTTAGCGATTTCGTACAATCAACCAAAATTTAGTGCATATGCTTCGTGGAGTGGTAATGCAATAACTTTTGCGACTATTGGAACAGTTGGTGCGGCACCCTACGGAATTTTTGTCGATATTAACAATACTGTTTATGTAGCTAATCGAGCAAGCAGTCTAATTCAAGTTTGGTCAGAAGGAAGTAACATACCTACAAGAAATATCACTAGTGGTTTAGCTTATCCGTACAGTGTTTTTGTTAAAAACAATGGTGATATTTATGTTGATAATGGATATTCAAATAATCGTGTCGACAAATGGATATTAAATCTAAGCACAAGTAGTTCAGTAATGTATGTTAAACAAGCATGTTATAGTCTTTTTATTGATATTAATAATAATCTTTACTGCTCAATGTATGATGCTCATCAAGTTGTAACAAAATCATTAAACAGTAATTCAAGTATGTGGATAGTTGCTGCTGGAGAAAGTTGTGCCGGATCGACATACAATAAACTTTATTATCCTCGTGGAATCTTCGTTGATACTAATCTCAATTTATATGTTGCTGATTGTGGGAATAATCGAGTTCAACTCTTTCCATCTGGACAAGTAACCGCAACAACTGTAGCAGGAAGTGCAGCAATAGGAACTATATCACTCTATTGTCCTAGTGGAGTTGTACTTGATGGTGATGGATATCTTTTTATTGTAGACAGCTACAATCATCGTATTGTGGCGTCCGGACCTACTGGTTTTCGATGTATAGTTGGATGTTCAACTGTCGCTGGTTCATCATCAAGTCAATTAATTTATCCATCACTTCTTAGCTTTGATAGTTATGGAAACATATTTGTCACTGATCGAGATAATAGTCGAATTCAAAAGTTTATTTTAATACCAAATACGACCTATCGTAAGTATATTATCGAGATAAGTAGGCAAATCAGCAGTTATCTAAACATTTTAAAATTAATCAGTGTCGAGACAAACGATGATAATACTTAATGAAAAGTGTTTATGGAATTTATCTGAGAAAATGGAACTTGATGAATAACAAGAAAAATGGAGTCGCCCTTTTAGGAAGATAATCTGAAATTTTCTCTTTCAGAAAATATATGTATAGAATTAGAATTTTCATGAATTTATTGCTCAAGATTTGTACGTTACTTTTTTCATTTCTAAAAAAACTCAGTTGTTTTCAATAGTTTCAGTGTTAAGCGATATTTCGTTTCTTATTCGTATTAGATTTGAAATATCATATAAATCGTTATTAAAATGTTATTCATTATATTATGCTATTAGTAAAAGTTTCAATTCGATACGTCGAACTAGACTAAAATTCCAGCTTATAAACAATATAAATAGAAAACTCCTAAGAAAGTTCTAGTAAGAAAGATCACTAATTGCATTTTTAACATCTTGCCATTCTAAAAATTATAAAGTTTGAGAGTTTTACATTAAATTTAATATCTCTACTGAAATTCCCTTCAAACCGAACTTTGTAATTTGTTTCTATTCATTTTTTGTGAACATTTTAGAGAATTCTTTCATAAAATAAGACTAAAAAGTACTATTAGTTCGCCTTGAAAAATAAAAACAAACTTTGATAATGCTTTGAAAAGTCAAGACGAAGTTACAATTTTCTAATCAAAATACAATTTTCAAACAATTAATAAAAATATCATTGGTTCATAAAATTATAATTTGGTTAATATTGGTTTGTAGAAAACGAGAGCTTTTTTGATTATTCTCCTAAACATATGATATGTTCATGATAGTTTTTTTTGTTTAGCTTTCTCGTTTAATCAACCGAATTTTTGTCCATCTACAACTTGGTATCTCGATGGTATTACGTTTGCTAATAGTAGCATGGTTGGTCTAGAACCGTATGGTCTCTTCGTTAGTATAAACAATACTGTGTACGTGGCTGATCGACAAAATGGTCGAATTATAGTATGGTTAGAGGGAAGTCTTTATCCAGACAAAATTATTTCTGGTGCTGCGAGTTTTCCATTGAGTCTATTTGCTACACTTTCGGATGATATATATATTGATAACGGTGTTAGCTATTCTCGAATCGATAAATGGCCAAGAAATTCAAATAGTAGTGTTATTACTATGACTATAGTTGAAGAGTGCTATAGCATTTTTGTCGATATAAGTAATACTATTTATTGTGCAATGACCTTTTATCATCAGATCGCTAAAAAATGGTTAAATAATAACGGAACTACACTTACTGTCGCAGCGGGTACCGGAGCTGCAGGAGGAGCTTCAAATCAGCTCTATTATCCTGCTGGAATCTTTGTTGACGTTAATTTTAATTTGTATGTGGGAGATTGTGGCAATGACAGAGTTCAAATGTTTTCATTAGGACAAGTAAATGGTATAGCAATAGCTGGGGCTGGTGCACCAGGTACTATTACACTCGATTGTCCGCATGCAATTACATTTGATGCTAATGGATATCTCTTCATTGTTGATCATTACAACCATCGAATTGTTGGATCGGGACCTTATGGTTTTCGATGTTTATTCGGATGTACGACTATACCAGGCTCTGCACCAAGTCAATTATATTATCCACGAACTTTTGGTTTCGATAGTTATGGAAATCTGTTTGTTGCTGAACAATACAACCATCGAATTCATAAGTTCATTCTAGCATCAAATTCATGTAGTAAGTCTTATAAAATAGGACTAAATTATATAATTTTTTGAACGTATATGAAGAAACAATATCTATTTCCAATAAATGTTGATACGAGATGAAAAATTCGGGAAAAAATGTTTGTACAATTTTTGTTCATGAAAATGTGTTTAGAAATATATTGTATTGCAAAAATATTATAGATCTGTAAATTTTTGGTGTATATGTGAGTTTAGTTTATTAGTGATATCGTAGTTGTGATGACAAACAAAAGAATAAGAGAAGAAGAGGAGATACAAAGAGGAACGGTTAGAGAACAACATAACGAATCTAATGTCTGACTTCATAGACTAGAGCGAACACATATATATATATATATAAGAAATGGTTGGAAAAAATCTCATGTACGACATAGTAGAACATAGTGGGACAAATTCAATATATCATATTAGAAAAATTCTAGATACGAAACATGAATATTTGCGACATATGTAAATATCATAGAATTCTCTACTTGAACGAATTCAATTAAAGTTTTGTGTCGCATTAATTCATAAGAAGCCATTTGTTTTAGGTCTTTCTTACAATCAACCTAAATTTTGTCCAGATGCATTGTGGTATTCAAATGCTTCAACGTTTGCATCAAATACCACCATTGGTTCATTACCTTATGGTATATTTATTGATGGTATAAATAATGTGTATGTGCCTAGTAAACTTTATAGAACTGTTTTGGTCTGGTCTCAATGGAGTAATACACCAACAGGCAATATTTCTATTTATTTGAATCGTACATTTAGCTTATTTGTTTCAATTACTGGTGACATTTATGTTGATAATGGTTATTCAAATGGTCGAGTTGATAAATTCATATTTAATACATCAAATATTGTCACTGTTATGAATATTAATGGAAGTTGTTATAGTTTATTTCTCGATATTAAAAATTATTTATATTGTTCTCTTAAAGATTTTCATCAAGTTGTGAAGATCTTACTTAATAATGGTACAAACATGCCAACAATTGCAGCAGGCAATGGGTCTGCTGGGTCTGCATCGAATATGTTGGATTCTCAACAAGGAATCTATGTTGACAGTAATCTAAATTTGTACATTGCAGATTGTGGTAATGATCGAATTCAACGCTTTCAATTCGGACAACTCAATGGTGTGACATTAGCTGGAAGTGGAGCATCAGGAACTATTACACTTGACTGTCCAACTGACATTGTTCTTGATAATGATGGATATTTATTCATTGTCGATAGCAACAATCATCGCATCGTTGCATCATCATCCTATGGCTTTCGATGTTTGATTGGATGTTCCGGAGGTGGTTCTTCATCCAGTCAATTATCTTATCCACAGAGCATGGCTTTTGACAGTTATGGAAATATGTTTGTTACTGATCGAAATAATAGCCGTGTTCAACAATTCATCTTTAACAATAGTCCTTGCAGTGAGTATTTGTTAAGAAAAACACTAATTAGCCAGTTATAATTAATAACTACTCTTTTGTTATAATATAAGAAATCATGACAGTGTGAATAGAAGCTCGTAAATATTTCAAGTGAAGAATAACTTTTCTACGAAACGAAAATGAATTTCAATTTTGATTTCGATGGTAAAACTACTTTTTCTCAGAAGAAACTACATCTATATGTGCACAGTTGCATAACATATCAACTCGATTCTCTCCTTCAATTTGTCAGTTGTTTCAATAGAATTCATGTTTAAACTCAGCGAAAGCTTTATGAGCATCGAAAAAATATAGTTTATCTCGTATTGGATCTAATAAAGCGCTAGAAACCTTCTTTGTTTTAGCTGTACAAACAACCATTCAAAGCACTGTAGTTCTCACCACGAATGCTGTTCAAACTACGATAACTCTCGCAACAACCACAATTGGTACAACGTCCGCTCTAACCACTGCAGCTATAAAAAGTACGATGGCTCCGGCCGTTAGCACAGTCGACACTACTGTTGTTTCAATCACAGCTGCTGCTGGAACTACTGAGACTCCAACTACAAGTATATTGGCAGTTGCCCAAACCTCAATAACAAGCCACATTGAATCCACTGCAGTCTCGACCACAAGTACTCCCATAATCACTAACCCTCCAGCCACCAGTACCGTCGAAACTACTGAAACGCCAATGACAAGTGTTCCCACAACCAGTGAAGTTCCAACGACGAGTACTATCGAAACTACTGAAGCTCCGACGACAAGTGCTCCTATAACCAGCGAAGCTCCAACAACGAGCACTATTGAAACTACTGCAGCTCTCACGACAAGTGTTTTCATAACCACGGAAACTTCAGCCACCAGTACCGTCGAAACTACTGAAGCACCAATGACAAGTGTTCCCACAACCAGTGACGCTCCAACAACGAGTACTATCGAAACGACTGAAGCTCCGATGACAAGTGCTCCTATAACCAGCGAAGCTCCAACAACGAGCACTATTGAAACTACTGAAGCTCCGACGACAAGTGCTCCTATAACCAGCGAAGCTCCAACAACGAGCACTATTGAAACTACTGAAGCTCCAATGACAAGTGTTCCCACAACTACTGAAATTCCGGCTACAAGCACCATTGAAACTACTGAATCACCAATGACAAGTGACGTCAAAACCACTGACACTCTAACCACAAGTGCCCCTGATACTACTACTGTTCCAACCACCACTACTATCAAAACGTCAGCAGCTGCAATCACAAGTGCCGTCTTAAGCACTGTAGATGCAACCACAACATTATTTGCAATAGGTTTGCTTCATCAAATTTTTTTTTTGAAAGCTTATATAGGAATTTTTACTGTGATAGATAGGATAACCACGAATATCATTGAAACAACTGATGTCAAGAGCTCAACACAGCTTGAGAAAGGTAGGTTAAGGAGAATAGATAGTTTCAATCTGATAATGTTGTTAAAATTTATGTAGAAGAAATCTCCTCAACACAACAACAATCATCGATAATCACAATTTCAACAACTTCAGAGTCACTTATTACTAATGAAAGTATGTTGTGAAACAGCTTGAGAGATCGTTTATCAATTATTTCTATTCTAGGTTGTTTTTCACCTACTGTTACACTCATTCCTGGAAAATCATCTTTAACATCTCCATTACAATATCGACGGAGTCAAGATTTTTCTATTATTTCGATTATTCAATTAAATTGTCAAGGTTCACTTTCAACAATTATTACATGGTCAATAAAGAACTGTAGTAGTTCTTGTTCATTTCAAATTCAATTAAGTGAAAAAGTAATTACAACATTAAGTGAACTATACATACCATCAAGAAGTCTTGCTTATGGTATTTACGAGTTCAAAATAATTGTAGCACAAGTTGATTTGTCAAGTTTAATATCAACAGCTTCAGCTTATGTTAGAATTACTCCATCAGGTATAACAGCAAATCTTGTTCAATTGGGAACATCAATGATTACACGTGGAAGTGAACAAGATCTGTTACTCGATCCTGGAACATTTTCTATTGATCCAGATGAAGATTCATTTGATGCAAGTGTAAGAATAAATCATATTGATGCATATGCAAATCTTTGTAAATTTCTTTCTTTTTCAAAATAGAAATGGAAATATGAATATTATTGTCGAATTTATGGTTTATATAACTTTCCAAATTTGCGAGGTATATTATTGAGTATTGATGATAATAGAACTGATCCTTCTAATCCATCATGTTTATCAAATCGATCAAGTAAAATTTATTATTTTGATCTCAATTTGTATTCTAATAATCCTTATATTCATTTTTTAAGACAATGGAAGAGCATGGCAATATACTAATTCGACTATTTCACCAAAGTCATCAATAACAATTCTTTCTGGTTCACTCCAATCAAATCGAACGTATCAGTTTTTGGTTTATATGGAAAATCGTCGAAATTCTTCTATTCAAGCAACTGGTTATTTACTTGTTAAAGTTGAGGATACTCGTCCACAACTAATCGCTGTTGGGTAATTTTTTTCTTCTTTTTTTTTTGTTTGATTCAACGTTTAAAAATATTTAATTTAGTTGTGTTATATCAACAATGTGTCTTCCTAATCTTGAATTTCAACTGGTTAATCCAACAACACAAGTTGCTTTATTTTCTATTTGTGTTGGAAGTTGTACAAATATTCAAAACATAACATGGAATATATATCAAGGCTCAGATAATTCATCTTCAAATAATACTCGATGGATTTTATTTAATCAAATGATTTCATATGAAAATATTTGGTTTTTTGGTAAATATTTATGTATAAATTATGATTGATGCATTGAGTAGAAGGTTTTTTCATCATGTTATGTATAACGTTTGTAATATACTTTCGCCAATGGATAAAAGAGTCACAGATTTTGAATGATTTAATTCTATAGAAAAATTTATGCTAAATTGTAATATCCTTCGTCTTTTGCTTACCGTACTTCGTGACGAAAGTCACATTAACGAAGAATGAAAATATGATACGTTAAACTTTCTCGATCATTTTAGGTAGAAATACCACGAATTTCACAGCAACAAACAAACTATTTCTTGAGAATCCTCAAATAACTCTTTGGCGATTTGAAGTTGTTTATGCATTGACAACCGAAACGAGTACAAGTGCACTGAATTTTGCTATTAATCAACCTCCATATAATGGTTCTTGTTCAATGAATCCTCTCAATGGTACAACAAGCACCTTATTTACAATATCATGTTCAGATTGGTTTGATGAAGATGGAATTAAAGATTATTCACTCTACGGTATATATATTTTCTTTCAATTCTCTATGCTATAAAAATCTTGTTTTTTTCTTTTTGTTAATTTTAGTTTGGACAAAAGATTCATCAGAACGATTAATAATTGCTTTTTCACCAGTATCAATTTTTCAAGTTCGTTTACCAGCTGGAGATGATCAAACATCTATACTCAATATTGTTATTTACATTCGAGATATTCTCGATTGTCTGACTGAAATGAATATGTCTTCTGTTAGTATCGTGCCAGATTCAACATCAATTACTGATTTAATTAATAATTTACAAAGTTCATCAAATGAAATAGAAAATAATCCAATTGTTCAATTACTTGCTAGTGGAAATCAAAATATTGTTGGACAAATAATTACTTCAATTTCACAACAATTTAATAAAATGAACAATGAAAGTCTAGACAACGCTGCTTCAAGTAGATTGATATTCGAAGTTTATTTTATTACGAATTATTAAGATAATTATTTTTAGATGGAGTTCCACTCGCAAGTATTTCTGTAGCATCATTAGGAAGTACAAGATCACAAGAAGTAATATTATTCGATAAAAATTTCTCTTATAGTTCTTCTATTTGTTGAAATAGATTTTCATTCCATTAAATGAATCAGCATTGACTGAATATAATAAAGAATTAAATTCTCAAGCTAATGTTCGAGATTATCTAATAACATTTACAAACAAACTTGCCATTACAACATCGAATAGTATCAAATTACAATCAACATCATTAGCACAATTGACTCAAGCTACAAATCAATTAACACGATCAAGTTCGGTAAGATTTTTCTTCTTCTTTTTTTTTTCTTCGTCTTTAAAAATTTATTTTAAATAAAAACAAAAAAGTTACTTGCATCAAATAAGTGTCATCAATTATCTCTTGCTTTACATTCAATGGCAACAAAAATTTCATATGAAGATGTACAAGCAGCATCAACTCAACTAATTCAATGTGGTACAAATGTTTTGACTGTATGATATTCAATATATATATATGATGTAAATATTTTTAATAATGAATTTTAGGCTATAAATGGAGCAATACAACAAAGAACAAGTTTACTTAATTTAGATTTGTCTCGTTCAAATGAATTACCTATTGATTATGAAACTGATCTTGAATCTGAATGGTCTAATCTAAGTAAGATTTAAATTAATTAAATAATAAAGATTAGATTTATATTGTAGATTTATTTGCTGATGGAAATGATTTTTCAATGGAAACAATTGAAAAAAATCGAAATATTTATTATCAAAAACAAGCAGCAAACCAAATAGAAAATCAAGTAAAAGAAATGATGGAATTATTGACATCTTCATTAAATATTCATTTAAATCTTGGTCAAAATTTATTAATAAATACATCTGAAACATTCATGTCATTAGAAACAATATCTGTTGAATCACTTTCAAATAGAATAGTTAAACAGGTTGGAAATGCTCAATTTCGTATTCCATCAAATTTAACATTTGATAAAATAGATAATTTTTCAATTTCACTTCGAGTAAGTTTTTTTTTTTTTTGTTTTCTTCTTTTCATATTATTTGAATAATTATTTTAATTGGTTTTATTTTATTTTATTTTCTAAGTCAATGATGAATCCACTTGCTCCATTTGGTAATTCAAAATCTGGATTAAATCAAAATCTTTCAAGATCAATTTCACTTTCAATACTTGATCATAATGAAAATGAAATTTCTATTCGAACAAATCTTATTGAACCTATTCAATTGATAATTCCTCGTGATCCAAATTTAATAATTCCATCAATGATTTTACAAAATGTAACATCAACTAATAATACTCCTCATAATCAATTATTTTATTTAAATTATATTAATATTACAAATAATCTTACTGTTTCAATTCATTTTGAAGTATATCCTCTCAATATAAATCTCGCTTATTTATTTATTTATAAATTTGATGAAACACCTCTATTGAATAGTTCAATTAATTTAATTGATGGATGGACTCTTTTTTGTCCTTCTGGTAAGTGTCTTTTTAAAATAATTCAATCTATTTATAATATCTAATCATAGATTTGACTAATGAAAATATTTATAAATATTTTATTAATAATCAACAAACATCAGGTCATCAATCATTAATATTTGGTTTAAGAGAATTAAGTTCAATAGAAATGATTGAATTTTGTTTGAATTCTTCCTATATTAATCTACCTATTACCGATGAAAGATATAATTTTACATCAAATTATGAACTTCGTATTTATACATCAGGTTGTTATTATCTTGATTCTAATAATAATTGGAAATCAGATGGATTAATAGTAAGTATATTTTCATTTGTCAAATAAAATAATTAACATTTAATTAAAAATAAAGGTTGGTTCATTAACAAATCATTATGAAACGGAATGTTTAGCAACTCATTTAACAACATTTGCCGGTGGTTTTATTGTTTTACCTTCACCAATCAATTGGAGTTATGTTTTTTCTAATGCTGATTTTATGCGAAATAAAACAATTTATTTAACAGTTATATCTTTTTCGATAATCTATATCATTTTAATGATTTATGCTCGTTTTAAAGATAAAAAAGATATTGAAAAAGTAAATTAATATTATTAATATGTTTATTATTCTAATGAAGATTGTTTTGTTTCAGTTGGGAGTCACACCATTATCTGATAATATAAAATCTGATCAATATTTTTATGAAATTCTTGTTTTTACTGGTCGACGAGTCAATGCTGGAACAAAATCAAAAGTAAAATTTTAATAAAGAAAAAGAAATAGGCGAATAAATTAAAATTTTCGTTTTTTTTTACTAGGTTCGATTTATTTTATCAGGCGCTAATGATGAAACAAATGTTCGAACATTTTCTGATTCTCATCGAAAGATTTTTCAACGTGGTGGAATTGATGCGTTTATTATGGCTGTTCCTANAATGTTATAGTATTTTTGTCGACCGCAGTAATACTTTGTTTTGCGCGATGACTTTTTATCATCAAATCGCTAAAAAATGGTTAAATAATAACGAAACTACACTTACTGTGGCAGCAGGTAATGGTGCAGCGGGGTCGACTCCATATCAACTTTATTATCCTGCTGGACTCTATGTTGACGTTAATTTTAATTTGTATGTGGGAGATTGTGGCAATGACAGAATTCAAATGTTTCCATTAGGACAAGTAAATGGAATTACAATAGCGGGGAACGGAGCACCAGGTACTATTACTCTTGATTGTCCAAATGCAATTACATTTGATGCTAATGGATATCTCTTCATTGTTGATAATTACAACCATCGAATTTTTGGTTCTGGACCTTATGGTTTTCGATGTTTATTTGGATGTACGACTATACCAGGTTCTGCACCAAGTCAATTATATTATCCACGGACTTTAGGTTTCGATAGTTATGGAAATCTTTTTGTTGCTGATCAATACAACCATCGAATTCATGTAGTAAGTCTTATAAAATAGAATTAAGTAATATTATTATAGAACGCATACGTAGAAATACTATTTATTACTAGTCATCTATCGATACGAGGTGGAAAATTCAGACAAAAAAATGTTTGAACAATTTTTTTTTCATGATAATGTCTTTAAAATATTTTCTATTTTAAAGATATTATGATTCAATTAGACTTTTGGGTTCGATTCATCAACAAAAAAATCATAGATATGTCATTTAATGAATTTTGAAAGTAACTATTTGTTTATCAGAGTTCATATTCTTGAAAATACAGTTAAATAACATTCAAAAGAATTCTTCTATTTGAATCATCTGACAATCATAAATAATCAAGATAAAAGTTCTATAAAATTATTTATTTTAGGTATTTCTTACAATCAACCTAAATTTTGTCCAGATGCATTATAGTACTCAAATGCCTCAACTTTTGCAACAAACACCACCATTGGTTCACTACCTTATGGTATATTTATTAATGAGATTAATAATGTGTTTGTGCCTAGCAGACTTTATAGAAGTGTGGAGTAACACACCAACAAACAATATTTCCAGTTATTTGGATAGTACATTTAGCGTGTTTGTTTCAATTACTGGTGACATTTATATTGATAATGGTTATTCAAATGGTCGCGCCGATAAATTTATATTTAATACATCGAATATTGTCACGGTTATGAATATTAATGGAAGTTGTTATAGTTTATTCATTGATATTAAAAATTATCTTTATTGTTCTCTTAGAGATTTTCATCAAATCGTTAAGCTCTTACTGAACAATGGTACAAATATTCCAACAGTTGCAGCAGGCAGTGGTTTCGCAGGATCAGCATCGAATATGCTTGATTCTCCACAAGGAATCTATGTTGATAGTTATCAAAATTTGTACATAGCAGATTGCGGTAATGATCGAATTCAACGCTTTCAATTTGCACAACTCAATGGTGTGACATTAGCTGGGAATGGAGCATTAGGAACTATTACACTAGACTGTCCAACTGGTATTGTTCTTGATAGTGATGGATATTTATTTATTGTAGATAGCAATAATCATCGCATTATTGGATCATCATCCTACGGCTTTCGATGTTTAGTTGGATGTTCCGGAGGTAGTTCTTTATCCAATCAATTATCTTATCCACAGAGCATGGCTTTTGACAGTTATGGAAATAAGTTTGTTACTGATCGAAATAATAGTCGTGTTCAAAAATTTATTCTTCAGAACAACACTTGTAGTAAGTACGATTAATGCTCTTTTAGTATGAGACAAGAAAAAGATGCCACATCTCTACGTGTACAGTTGCATAACATATCAGTTTGATTCTCTGAATCGATTTGTTGATTTGTTTCAATACAAGTCACATTTAAACTGAACGAAAGCTTTATGAGCGTCAAAAAACCATAGCTTATTTTACACTTTATTTAATAAAGCATTACGAGTTTTCTTTGTTCCAGCTGTACCAACAACCATTCAAAGCACTATAGTTTCGACCACAAATGCTGTTCAAAGTACGGTTACTCTCGCAATAACTACTATCGATACTACGACTCCTCAAATCACTACAGCTTTAAAAAGTACGCTGGCTTCGATCACTAGTAATGTTGATACTACTGTTGTTTCGAGCACAGCTGACGCTCGAACTACAGAGACTGCAACTACAAGTATATTGGCAGTTGCCCAAGCTTCAACAACAAGCTACATTGAATCCACTGCAGTCTCGATCAAAACTACTCTCATAATGACTGTTCCTTCGGCGACAAGTACCGCCGAAACCACTGAAGCTCCTACGACTAGCCATATTGAAACAACTGAAGCTTCAACGACAAATATTCCCACAACTACTAAAAGCCCGGTGATTAGTACTATCGAAACCACTGAAACTTCATCGACAAGTGTTCCCACACCAACTGAAACTCTGGCGACGAGTACTGAAGTAACTACTAAAGGTCCTACGACAAGTGTTTCCATAACCACTGAAGTTCCAACGATGAGTACCACCAAAAGTACTGAAATTCCAACAACAAGTTACATCAAAACTACTCAAACTTTAATTACAAGTGCCCCAGATACTACTATGGTTTCAACTACCACCGCTATCGAAACTTCTGAAACGGCAACCACAAGTGTCATCTTAAGCAGTATAGATGCAAGAACAACAACAATATTTTCAATAGGTTTGTTTCATCAAATACTTTTTTTTGAAAGCTTATAAGGGAAATTTCTACTGTGATAGATAGAATAACCACGAACATCGTCGAAACAGCTGATACCAAAAGTTCAACACAACTTGAGAAAGGTACGTTGTAGAGAGTACGTAGTTTCAAAAAGATAACGTTGTTAAAATATTTGTAAAAGAAATCTCCTCAACACAACAACACTTATCGATAATTACGATTGCAACAACTTCGAAGTCATTTATTACTAATGAAAGTAGGAATTGTAACACCTTGAGAGATAATTTATCTATCTTTTATATTCTAGGCTGCTTTTCACCCACTGTTATACTCATTCCTGGTAAATCATCTTTAACATCTCCATTAGAATATCGACGGAGTCAAGATTTTTCTATTATTTCGATTATTCAATTAAATTGTCCAGGCTTACTTTCAACAATTACCACATGGACAATTAAGAACTGTAGTACTTCTTGTTCATATCAAATTCAATTAAATGAAAAAGTAATAACAACATTGAGTGAACTATATATACCATCAAGAACTCTTAATTATGATATTTACGAGTTCAAACTAACTGTAACACTAGTTGATTTACCAAGTTTAACATCATCATCTTCAGCTTATGTTAGAATTACTCCATCAGGTATAACAGCAAATCTTGTTCAATTAGGAACATCGTTAATTACACGTGGAAGTCAACAAGATCTTTTACTCGATCCTGGAACATTTTCTGTTGATCCTGATGAAGATTCATTTGATGCAAGCGTAAGTATCAATTATATGAATGCATATACGAATCTTTTGTTTGAATAGAAATGGAAATATGAATACTACTGTCGACTTTATGGTTTATATAACTTTCCAAACTTGCAAGGTATATTACTGAGTATTGATGATAATCGAACTGATCCTTCTAATCCATCATGTTTATCAAATTGATCAGGTAAATATTATTATTATCTTGATCACTATTTGTATTCTCATAATTATATCGTATCCTTTTTTGAAGATAATGGAAAAGGATTGCAATATACTAATTCTAATATTTCACCAAAATCATCAATAACAATTTTTGCTGGTTCATTTCAATCAAATCGAACATATCAGTTTTAAGTTTATATGGAAAATCGTCGAAATTCTTCTATTCAAGCAACTGGTTACTTACTTGTTAAAGTTGAAGATACTCGTCCGAAATTAATTGCTGTTGGGTAAATTTCTATTTTTATTTGATTGTACATTGAGAAATTATTTGATTTAGTTGTGTTATATCAACAATGTGTCTTCCTAATCTTGAATTTCAACTTGTTAATCCAACAACACAAGTTGCTTTGTTTTCTATTTGTGTTGGAAGTTGTACAGATATTCAAAACATAACATGGAATATTTATCAAGGTTTAGATAATTCATCTTCAAATACTACTCAATGGATTCTGTTCAATCAAATGATTTCATATGAAAATATTTGGTTTTTTGGTAAATAGATATGCATAAATTGTAATCGAATCATTGAACAGTGGTTTTTTTTTTATCATTATCCATATCGTTAGTAATACTTTCTCTAATTGATAAAAACCATAGAAACTATGCGCCGAGGTATATTTTTCTTAGTTTAATTAATTCTTACCTATTAAACTAAAATTACTTTTAAAAATCAATGAAATTTGATTTAATATTGAACTATCACATTACAATAATTGACGGAAGTCACATAAGCAAAAAAATGTGATACATTATCTATATTGATCATTTTAGGTAGAAATACGACTAATTTTACAGCAACAAACAAACTATTTCTTGAGAATTCTCAAATAAAACTTTGGCGATTTGAAGTTATTTATGCATTGACATCTGAAATAAGTACAAGTGCACTGAATTTTGCTATTAATCAACCTCCATATAATGGTTCTTGCTCAATTAATCCTCTCAATGGTACAACAAGTACTTTATTTACAATTTCATGTCCAGATTGGTTTGATGAAGATGGAATTAAAGATTATTCACTTTATGGTATATACATTTTTCTTTTTTTAATTTTTTATGCTATGAAAATAAATTTTAGTCTGGAAAAAAGATTCATCGGAACGTTTAATGATTGCTTTTTCACCAGTATCACTCTTTCAAGTTCGTTTGCCATCTGGAGATAATCAAACTTCCATACTCAATATTGTTATTTATATTCGAGATCTTCTTGATTGTCTGACTGAAATGAATATGTCTTCTATTAGTGTCATGCCAGATTTATCAACAATTACTGATTTAATTAATAATTTACAAAGTTCATCAAATATAATACAAAATAATCCAATTGTTCAATTACTTGCTAGTGGAAATCAAAATATTGTTGGACAAATTATTACTTCAGTTTCACAACAATTTAATAAAATGAATAATGAAAGTCTAGACAATGCTGCTTCAAGTAAATTGATATTCGAAGTTTATTCTATCATAGATTATTAAGATAATCTTTTTCAGATGGAATTCCACTCGCAAGTATTTCTATAGCATCATTAGGAAGTACAAATTCACAGGAAGTAATTCTATTCAATAAATATTTCTATTGTAGTCCTTCTATTTTTTTTTTTTTGAAATAGATTTCTATTCCATTAAATGCATCAGCTTTGACTGAATACAATAAAGAATTAAATTCTCAAGCAAATGTTCGAGATTATCTAATAAAATTTACAAATAAACTTGCCATTACAACATCGAATAGTATCAAATTACAATCATCATCATTAGCACAATTGACTCAAGCTACAAATCAATTAAAACGATCAAGTTCGGTAAGATCTTTTTTTTTCGTCAGATCTTTAGAAGTTTATTTTAAATAAAAAAAACAAAGCTACTAGCATCAAATAAATGTTATCAATTATCTCTTGCTTTACATTCAATGGCAACAAAAATTCCATATGAAGATGTTCAAGCAGCATCAACTTCATTAATTCAATGTGCTACAAATGTTTTGACTGTATGATATTCGTCATATGATTAAGGAAATTATTTTTGATAATGAATTTTAGGCTATAAATGGACCAATACAACAAAGAACAAGTTTACTTAATTTAGATTTATCTCGTTCAAATGAATTACCTATTGATTATGATACAGATCTTGAATCTAAATGGTCTAATCTACGTAAGATTTCGATTGATTAAAATAATAAAGAAGTCGATTTTTATTATAGATTTATTTGCTAATGGAAATGATTTTTCAATTAAAACAATTGAAAAAAATCGAAATATTTATTATCAAAAACAAGCAGCAAATCAAATAGAAATTCAAGTAAAAGAAATAATTTCATTATTAACATCTTCATTAAATATTCATTTAAATCTTGGTCAAAATTTATTAATAAATACATCTGAAACATTTATGTCATTAGAAACAATATCTATTGAATCACTTTCAAATAGAATTGTAGAACAAGTTGGAAATGATGAATCCACTCGCTTCATTTGGTAATTCAAAATCTGGATCAAATCAAAATCTATAAAGATCAATTTCACTTTCAATACTTGATCATAATGAAAATGAAATTTCTATTCAAACGAATGTGAGTGAGCCTATTCAATAAATAATTCCTCGTGATCCAAATTTAATAATTCCATCAATGATTTTACAAAATGTAACATCAACGAATAGTACTCCTCATAATCAATTATTTTATTTTAATTATATTAATATTACAAATACTCTTAGTGTTTCAATCCATTTTGAAGTGTGTCCTTTCAATCTGAGTCTTGGTTATTTATTTATTTATAAATTTGATCAAACGCCCTTATTGAATAGTTCGATTAATCTGATTGATGGATGGACTCTTTCTTGTCCTTCAAGTAAGTCTATCTTTAAAATAATTCAATCTACTGACTAATATCTAATTGTAGATTTGACTAATGAAAGTATTTATAAATATTTCATTAATAATCAACAAACATCAGAATATCAATCATTAATATTTGGTTTAAGAGAACTAAGTTTAATAGAAATAAATGAATTTTGTTCGAATTCTTCATATACTAATTTACCCATTACCGATGAAAGATTTAATTTTACATCAAATTATGAACTTTGTATTTATACATCAGGTTGTTATTATCTTGATTCTAATACTAATTGGAAACCAGATGGATTAATAGTAAGTACATTTTCATTTGTAAAAGAAAATAGTTCACATTTGATCAAAACAAAGGTTGGACCATTAACAAATCATTATGAAACAGAATGTTTTGCAACTCATTTAACAACATTTGCCGATGGTTTTATTGTTTTACCTTCGCCAATCAATTGGAGTTATGTTTTTGCTAATGCTGATTTTATGCGAAATAAAACTATTTATTTAACAGTTATATCTGTTTCTGTAATCTATATTATTTTAATGATTTATGCTCGTTATAATGACAAAAAAGATATTGAAAAAGTAAATTGAAATTACTTGTATGTTTATTTTTCTATTGTGATTGTTTTATTTAAGTTGGGAGTCACACCATTATCTGATAATATGATGTCTGATCAGTATTTTTATGAAATCCTTGTATTTACTGGTCGACGAGCAAATGCTGGAACAAAATCAAAAGTAAAATTTTAAGCAAAACAAAAAAAAAAGAAACATATTCAAATTTTTTTTTCTTACTAGGTTCAATTTATTTTATCTGGTACTAATGATGAAACAGATGTTCGAACATTTTCTGATTGTCATCGAAAGATTTTTCAACGTGGTGGAATCGATGCATTTATCATGACTGTTCCTAAGTAAATTTATTTGTCTAATTAATTAAAATGAAAAAGAAGATTGAGTTTTAGATCATTAGGATTATTTAATTATATTCGTATTTGGCATGATAATACTGGTCAAGGGTCATCAGCATCATGGTTTCTAAAATATATTATTGTTCGAGATTTACAAACAATGGAAAATTTTCATTTTATTTCTCAACAATGGTTTGCAGTTGAAAAAGATGATGGACTTGTTTGTTATTGTTTTGTATTTTCTATTCATATTTCTTTTTCTTTCATTTTTATTAGATTGAACGTGTTCTTTCAGTCGCTAATGAAATAGAAAAACGGAATTTTTCCTATGTTTTATCTAAAAAAGCCTATCAAACTATTTCTGATAGTCATCTATGGTTTTCAATTTTTTCCCGTCCACCTTCAAATACTTTTACGCGTGTACAACGATGTAGTTGTTGTTTTGTTTTATTATTCACTTCAATGTTACTAAACATAATGTATTATGATTTATCAGTGGAAGCAAAATCGTCGAATAAAACAGAAGGTAACAGTTTATCAATTGGCCCTTTACACATAACACCTCAGCAGGTATGTAATATTTTGAAATGAATAGTAATAGGTAAATAAAAAGCACTAGTTTCGCTGTGATTGACAATCTACTATTCATTACTCTCCCCTTTATGAAATAATCTTCAAGTTATTTCCTAAATGAACTATATATGACAACTAACCATACGTATGTATAAATTTCGAAATACTACAAAAACGTCTCCTATTTACACCAGGAGCAAAGTTCATATTTATATTATTGTAATATGTAAGTGCTTTACGTTTTTGCTTCAAATAATTTATTGTGTACATTCAAAGTGTTATTATTTAAAAATAGAGTTTCTTGATAAATGTTCATGGTTTCTTGTTTTTCTATCCTCAATAGCAACATAATATACTAAATGATTATATGCTCGTTATAATCATGTCATTTTTACTATATATCATGACTTTGCCTTTTTCTTCTCAACAATTACCACCATAATATTGATATGTAATATAATATATATATAAATCATTAGTGTGTCAAAGCTATCTATAAGTTCTATTGCATTTCATCTACCTTTTCGAAATGTCACTCTCGAAAGTGTTTCTGTCACTTTTTACCATAGTGAAACTCAAATTTGCATTCAACTCTGATTTTTACGTTTTTTTAATCGAAGTTGAAATAGAATTCTATAACTGACCAATGGAATTGAAACTAATGTCCTTCCCCAATACCAATTGACCTTCTGTTAATATCATGAATTTTGAGGAAGGAATGAAAAAAATTGAACGTGAAAACACGTATGTACGGTATTTGAAGCGTCGTTAATCGTCCTATGAATGATTAGAATGAGAAGAAGAAAAACAAACAGATATTACAGAGAAATTTGCAAAATTCATAGATGAGATTGCTATAATAGTAGCTATTTGTAAAAAAACAAGAATTAGTGCATCGAATGTCTATTTTACTGATTCTTCATTAATCGATAACCTAAAAGAAAATGTATTTATTATCTAATAAGTTTTCGTACACTCATTTCGAAGTCAATTTTATAGTACGAAGTATTAGTGACATCAATATATATTGGCTATAATCTAGATTAGTTGAACATGTATACGCAAGAAAAAATATCTTTTAAAAATTATATTGGACCTCACTTAACGTGATGAGATCGCAGTTGGAATTGTAGTGAAATTTAAAAAAATAAATCGAAAGTTACAGATGAAATATGATATTAATATAGCACATATAGTTGTAGTTTACCATTTTTATATTAATAAAAGTAAGAGTTCAGGATAACTTTAGTCTTCAATAATTTTCAAATTCGACACAATGTTTCTTCCAATGAATTCTTTGCTATGGTGATGGCTTCTATTACAGAAACATTTTTATTTAAAGTCAGAAAATATTATTGGATGAATCAATACTAAATATATTTCGATCAATTCAGTTAGATCCAAGGGGGAAAAAACTCATTCGGGCATTCTCTGGCATTCCAACCCATTCCCAGCCATTCCTATCCATTCCGATCCATTCCCAGCCATTCCGATCCATTCCCAGCCATTCCAATCCATTCCCAGCCATTCCGATCCATTCCAATTCATTCCTATCCAATCCGAGCTATTAGAAATCATTCACGTCTACACCTAACTTTTGTAAATTACTTCTATGC